GTGACGCCGGACAGGCTCATTGCTCACACGGTGCTCCCACCAGACATGAGCTAAGCTGCGAAGGCAGTGATGATCGAATGTGACGAGCCTCTTTATGTCTGTCGACCTGATGAGCCAGGTTTCACAACCATGTAAGAGAGTTGAAAGGACGGCTGCGTTATAAACTTTGCCCTTCAGGACGAGAGCGATGTCGCGTCTGCGCCACAGGTGGCGGAGATTAGCAAAAGCACCTCGAGCTTTGCTATATGGTTCGTAATCTCAGCTTCGATCACACAGGCGCTAATATAGCTGCCCAGGTACTTGAATTCCTGAACGACTTCTAGCTGATCATCACCTAAGGTCAGCGCAGGGGTGGGTTCCTGCCAATCTTGGAGAAGTACTTTGCATTTCGATGGAGCAAAGCATAGCCCGAAACGATAGACAGGCAGGGCTAATCGGTCCAGTGCAGACGGGCACGTTTGGGCGCTGTCACATATGAGGGGAATATAGTCCGCGCACTCCAAGTCAAGAAGTCGCTCACCAGGAAGTAAGTCGCTCACCAATTCTTGAGCACGGATTGCCAGAATCCTATCCTCTCACGAAAGACGAGTGTGTTCTGATGGAGAACGCTCAGTGGAGGGGATCGAAATCCGTCACGAGACTCCGGAACCTGTCTTCAAAATGGAACTTGTTCTCCGTGGAGTGTCGTCGTCGCAATGGTGACTTGATTTATGGCCGACGTATTCTACGATGTAAGATCAGGAATGAGTAGCAGTTATTTCACTATACATCAGCACAGTCGGCTGAACTGCAGTCGACACTTCTTCGCTTTGCGAATCTGCCGACCGTAGAATGCTCTGTCTGCCGACCTACTGCGGCTGATTTTAAGACCCGGCTGAACTGTTTATCGGTGGCCGAGTGGTGTGCATGTTTGGTTTGCAACCATAAGGTCACCGGTTCGAATACGCGTAGGGGTGGGCGTCCTCGCGGTATACTCAGCCCGCGCGCGACTGGTGGTGGTCGCGCGGCAGCGAAGCGCCGTTACGGCGTACAGCTGACACATTATTATTTTATTATTTATTTCACCTTTGTGCGAATAGTTCGATACTGGACCACGGTTGGAAGCTGTCCAAATCGAGGAGGCTTTAAGTTCGATCCGATGTTACTTGGTCAAAGTGATGGGACCGATTATCTCAGGCGCTTTAATGGACCACATGGAGGCCTAGAAACTGCTCTCCGATTGCCAACACGACTTCCGGCGGCAACGGTCGCACTTGTTATTTGTCAGGGATAACTGGACGACTGCTGCGGACTCCGGCCTAGAAACGCACGTCATATTCTTGGATTTCGCTGAAGCCTTCGACAAACTCGACAACAACATCCTACTACACAAACTGTTGTCAGTTGGTGTATCAGGAGCCTTGATGGACTGGATGCGGAACTATCTCCAAAACCGTACCATCAAAATACGAGTCGACGGAGCGTTGTCCCCCCACATCCTTGCCACAAGCGGAGTTCCATAGGGTTCCGTTCTCGGACTGGACGTCATCCTAGCCTTCATTGATGACGTCACAACGCAAGTAGAGTCTTCGTTGCTGCTATTTGCCGATGACGCGAAGCTTTGGCGTACAATTAATGCTCTGGACGATGCTCACGCACTCCAAATGGACCTCGGCCGTCAACACCAGTGGTCCCTAGAATACAACCTTCCAGTTATCGCCTCGAAATGTTGTGCCCTCTCTACCCACACCTCCGCTTCTCCTATATACTTCCTGGGAGCGTCTATTGTCCAGAGCTCGTTAGCTGAGACTTGGGTATCATTAATCAGACGAATCTTTCTGCATCCGCTTCCTGCCGGAAAGTAGGTTCTGCTGCTAGCAGCATGCTGGGGTTGTTGTAACGGGTCTTCGGTCAAATTGACCCTAGCAATTTCCGCCTTCTCAACGCTTTTCTTCGATTCCACTTGGAGCTTGCTATTCAGACTTGGAGCCCCTAGTTGCTGAAGGACCAAAGTATACTTGAGGCTCTACAACATCGAGCAACAAAACAGGTCCGAGGTGTCAAACACCACTGCCTGGGCCTCTACTCGCTAAAGTACCGACGTCTCCGGGACGACTTGACGCTTGTACGTATGTTCTTATCCAACCCTGAACATCTCTGCCACCACCTATTCACAGTGCACCAATCGTGCTCCCAACTACGGAGCCACACACTGAGGCTCACACGTCAGCACAGTCGGCTGAACTGCAGTCGACACTTCTTCGCTTTGCGAATCTGCCGACCGTAGAATGCTCTGTCTGCCGACTTAGCCTCGGCATTGATTTTAAGACCCGGCTGGACTGTCATTTTGCCGAGCTGCACCGCGATCTTCCCTAAGAAAACTACCTTCTACTTCATTTTATAGTCCACACTAGCCCGTCAACTTTCAGCTACCTCTCACCCGACGCAGCAGCTTGTTCTTCAACTCTCAACACTTCCGATATACACAATGGCGGAGTTTCTTTTTTCATTTAAGTATTCCCTTTCCAAAGCCGTCTTGGAGGGCGCGGTGGGATGTCACGCTTTGAGCCAGCGTGCACTCTGTTAAAATGCTACATAAGCCCGATATAGTTAGGGCTAACACGCCAGTCCAACCCGCTATAAGGTTGATTGGCCTTTCATCAGACCCGACCATAACTTTGTTACCCTATGGGTTATGTAAAGCTTCAGCTTTGACTTCCCGTAAACACAATGTTCTAATGTTCAAATGTGAACTCTTGTGGTGAATGACTGGAATGAGTAACCTGGACTAGTCGACAGTTCAGAGCAATGTTTCAAGCGATTGGTAGACACCTATTTACTGGACAAGTATGGATCTTGCTTGAATAAGTTGCGTTGGCTCGGACACGTGCTACGCATGCCTGGTCACCGCTTACTTAGAAGGGCCTTGTTTAGTCTGCCAGCTGTAGGGTGGCGCAAGGCTCGAGGTGGACAGAAGTTGACTTGGCAGCGGGAAATGAAGTCATTGACGACCAAACTGGGTGCCGTTGGTCCATCTCGCCTCCCGGGCTGGAGTCCACGTGATTCGCCTTGTGCTTAGCTCGAGACTTTACAGGACATGGCTCGCAGTAGACACCAGCGGCGCGTCTGCTGCCGTCTCCTAATTGGATTACCTGTTTAAAGTGTGGTGCTGAGTTATCCTCAGGGTAATGACTGATTATGACGCGTGGCAGTGAAAGCCGCAAGGAAGCTGTCTCGCTGATGCCGCCTTATCTTTGCACGATAGCCAGCTGTTTGTGACGGTATGTTGTCTACACAAGGTGTAGGCGCCTTGACCCTGAATGTTTGCTTAGGGCATTAAGGTTTTCAGGTAAGTCCCCCTTCTCTCCATCTGCTTATTATTTATTTCATAGGTCCTCATGGTTGTATGGCAGCAAAGCATCAGTTTAGAGGGCTGATTTACTGCTGTTCATGATGATGATGATGATGGATCTTGTTGCGTTTACAATGGGCAATGGTCACGTAGTGGATGCGCTTTTCGCCAACTCGGAAGCATTTGGTAAGGTACCCCACTTGAGACTATCACAAAAGCTGAGCTCCTAAGGTGTATCTGGCCACGTCCTTCACTAAGTATCTGCATTCTTGCAGGGAAAAGAGCAGTGTATACGTGTGGGTCGCAGCTTATCCTTTAGGCAAGTGGTCCTTAGCGGTGTCCCGCAGGGCTCGGTCCTTGGACCGATGCTGTTCCCCATATACGTAAAAGATCTCTCTGGGGAGCTTGGGGTATCATCTCTATTGTTTGCTGATGACCTTAAGCTATGGAATGTTGTAAATGTCCCTGGGGTTCTGGGACCATTCAGCATGCCCTGGACAGACACTGGGACTGGTCTACTTTGTGGCTAGTGCCCATTAATCAGGCTGTGTTCCGTCCTTCGTATAGGAACAACTTTCCCACCTTCGAGATACATGCTCGGTGGCGTCGATCTCCCCTTGGTCTCCAACCAGTTAGACCTAGGCGTCGCTTATTTTTCGTCTTTGCATTCCGGTGACAATTGGAAGGCCGCAAGTAGGAGTTTCAGAATGTTGTGGTTAGTGCGCCGTCCTTTCGGGGCCTTAACTGCCGACATATTTGTGAAATTGTTCTCAGTTTTCGTTCGGCCCCATCTGGAATACTGCATCCAGGCTTGTCCGCCCTGCCTTGTTCGGAACAAAATGGAGCTCACTAGGGTTCTGAGAGTATGTACCAAATTGGTCGAGGGGTTATGTGTACAATCATACCCCGAGCGTCTACTTAGAATGGGCATGTATTCAATTCACTACTGACGGCTTCGAGGAGACCTAATCCTTACTTACCGCGTTTTAACTGGGAAGTTTGGACCGGACTTGAGCTGGCTATTTAGCCAGGCTAGGTTGCCTTGTCTTGGCGGTCATCCTATGACGCTACACAAGCCACGCTTCCACCAGATCAGCGCGAAAACGGTTATCACGTAGAATTATCGAGCGCTGGAACTCGCTTCCAGGAAGTGTAGTCAGTGAATCTAGGGCTAAGGGTTTCGAGCGTCAGTTAGACGCACTTGGGTGGCAAAACGCAACCTTTCCCCTCTCCTGACCATATCCATCTTCAAACTAATTCTTATTATATCACTCTCTTCACTTTTTGGTGTTTTCCTTCATTTAAATGACTTTCATTCCCCTTTATCTTCCATCTACCTTCTTTCTTACTTCACGTAACCTAGACAGCGGGGACTGCTAGTGCAGGGAACGTGGGCAGTAAGTGGTTGACCAGGGTGTTTCGGATATTTTGTTTTAGACCCATAAAGACCTCGTAGCACCTTATCATTCCCTGGCTCAACGATCCGCGCAAGAAGGAACACTCAGGGGATTTTCCTACTGTTCCAGTCCCATCTGACCGTCGTGCTCTCAAGTGGAACACTGCCGCAGCAACTCAGTCCCTACAGTGAGCGGGGATTGGTGGAGATGACAATGTTCTCTTTTCTCCTCCCTACAAACCAATGAACCAATGAAGACCGTTATACACTTACCCCCAGTTGTTCGGTCTAAGAACACCACTCGAAGCCATGCTTCAAAACATCACTGACGATAAAAAGGACCCACAAAAGGTTTTCACGACACAAAGAGATGAGAACCGGGAATTTACTACTGAAAGGTGAATAAGCACTACATTTCGCTTAAACTTACAGGCCTTTATAGTTAACAAGGAACGTACATATACGTAAGCCCAAACGTACAAACCAGGGAAGGTTAACATGGCATATCAAAATGAAGCAGAATGAAGACTAAAGGCGCGGTAACAAAAAGTGGACGATATCTGAAGTAAGCAATGTACTTACGTCGCAATATGTTTGGCGGCGGCGGGTGTTTTATCGCGTAGCCTAAGCAACATAGACTTTCGCATTTCTTGCAGCGCATCCAGTGACTGAGACACAGATCTAGCGATGTCATCACCATAATTCTTTTCGATGAAACGTCTCAACGGGTTTTTCAGGTCAACTTCGTGAGAAGAACGGCAAGGGATACTGACAAACGACATGATATCTGATAATAAAGTTCCGAAGTGTGTAGTGCTTTAGATGGTAATTCCTGAGAATTGAACAGCAGCGGAGCGTCGGATTCGCCAATTGAGATCAACGGTATTTTGACAGGTGTGATTTTGGTACACACGGTTGTGTGTGGTTGGATGCAAATTTTGGCATCCAACGCATGTGAATGTTTACTATTAAGTTATGGTATTTATTTAAATGCTAAGCGGTGGATTTGAAATCAAGTTACTAAACGGTTAAATGCATTACGGTTTTTAATCATTTCCCCGCTTCAAGCGATCGCGGCCATGGTGGAGGACTCGTGTGTATTCCGACGTATCCTCAAGGGTCCTTATCTGGAATTCTTATCGATGAATGGGGATCTTAACATGTTGCAGGTGAAAACGGCGACATCGTTTATTCGTCGGAACGTCATACTTGCGAAAGCGTATCAGACGGAGACTGGACAGGTGCTACCAAAATGCTGCCCGTACCGCCATATCCTGTTTGTATGCGTGCATAGCAAGAGCAGCAATGCTGCTGAAAAGCGGTAAGTGTAGTGTATCTGCCTGGTGCAAAGGTTATAACAGGTACAGGTGTTACAATTGCCCTGCTCGGTTCTCAGCGGTGTTTAAGGTGAATTTGGAAACGCGCGTCTTTGGCATTCGCACACTTTTCACGTGGGGAGGCCCCGGCTGTACGCCAAACATCCGAGGCTACCAGCGGATCAAGAACACATGGTGCTTAACTTAATGAAAACGTTTCGTCGGACGCAGGCGAAGCGTGCATTTGTACGTCTGCAATATAACCTTCAAGTTCAAGTTCAATTGGGATCGGAACAGTAGGAAAAGCTGGCGAATGTACCATCTTCGAAAACGTCGTTGATCCAACAGGGAAACCGGTGCCTTGATGTGCTAAGGGAGAGCCAAATCAACACACACGATTCATATGGTCAACCAAACAATGCCCACGTGTCCTGCACTAGCAGTCCCCGCTGCGCCGGTCACGTGAAGAATAAAAGAAAACGGTAGTGTCAGTAAAGAAAAGAAAACAGAGAAGACAAGCTAATCGAATATCGTAAGCAATATTAAGATGTAAGTTAAAAGGACTTAAAGAAGCGTAAGCCGTAGTAGACGAAGAAAAGTTTAAGACAAGAAGGGGAAGACTTTAAACTGCAGACCGAGAGCGTCAAGTCGATGCTCGAACTCTTTCAACGTCGGTATTAGATCTTCACTTTTTTCGCTATTCCGAATTAACCACCCAGAAATTTCTCCGCAAAAATTCTAGCCCAGCCGAAACAAAATCAAAATTCCAACAGCCTTGACCACGAAAACGTGCTAACAATAACTCTGCCAACGTAGCCAGAAAATGCCACCGAAAACACTGTCCTCTCAACTCTGAGGCAAATGTCCAATTAGCTGGGTGTTTGAAAACGCATTCGTCCGCTCGATCGATTCCCTGATCGACCGCATGGGGTAGGCGATTCTCTTCAGCCCGGCTTTCAATCGCCATCATATACTTTTCTTTTTTTCTTTATGTTTTTATCTGATTCCCGGATACCTCCCCTACTGAAGCTGCTGCCGTTGTGTGGGATGCTAGCCGGGGATTAACCTGGAGCTTCCTGGAAGGGATTCTTCGCCTACCGGTGCATCGCCTTGGCTGGAATGTGCTGGATTCCAATTCCGTGCTCTGCGGTCTGGTACTATCCGTCTGATGACAGGGTTCTTCTGCTGGCTCCGTAGGCAAATTGATGCTGTCTGTCAACAGGTCAAATAGAAGCTTGGCGGATTCTGTTGCTTGTGGCTGACACATTGTTGTTCGCAGTTGGTTTGCATGGCGTACCCATACCTGCGTTCCAACTAGCACGTCGTAAATGACGCTTCCGCGCTTGCGCTGGATCGTGCCTGGCGTCGATTTCGCGTGCCCACCCTGATAATCACGCACAAGTACTGTCTGACCCGGTCTAAACGAACGTTGCTTGGCACTAAACCGCCGATTAAAATCACGTTCCAACTTTAGGTTCCTTTCACCAGCTATGGACGCTGAGGATGGCCGAACTGCATCATATCGCATGCGAACTTTTCTCTTCATCATTGCCGCTGCTGGTGATATTCCACCCGGTGTTTGTAACTTTTGTGTAGATCGATACGGAAATAGGAAGTGGTCGATCACCTATTCTATGTCACCCTCCCTCCTTGATTTGAGGAGAGCGCGTTTGAACGTATCCACAAACCTCTCCGCTTGGCCATTCGATTGTGGGTGGAATGGTGGAGACCGCACGTGTTTGATGGCGCAACCTTAGCAGAATTCCGTGAATGTGGCCGAAGTAAACTGTGCTCCATTGTCCGTCACCAATGTTTCAGGGCAGCCGAACCTGCTGAAGATTTGTCGCAACCTAGAGACGGTTGCGCTGGTTTTCGTGCTTCTCATGAGGAACACTTCGGGCCACTTGCTATAAGCGTCGACCACTATGAGAAAGCTCTGGCCATTGATTGGGCCTGCAAAGTCTACATGACTCCAAGATTTAGTTGGTTTAGGCCATGAGCGGAGTTCAGTCTTCGGCGGTGCCCTTGAGGCGGTAGCGCAGTCGCCAAAACTTTTAGGTAGCTGCTCCAGCTGCCTGTCCATAAACGGCCAATACGCATAACTTCTGGCAAGCCCTTTCATTCGGTTGAGCCCAGGATGTCCTGCATGGAACTGTCGCAGCATTCTTTGTTGCAACGCCTGCGTGATGACTATTCTGTCTGAGAACATGATGCAATCGTCCACAATGGAAAGCGAATGTCTTCGCTGATAGAACTGCTACATTTCGGCAGATGAACACGCACGTGGCCAGCTGGTTCTGTGGAAGTGTGTCACCTTCTTCAGGATTGGGTCTCGAAGCGTTTCGGCCCGAACAGCATCGGCCGTAACTGGCATACCATGTCGTGCCTCGTTCACCAGGAATTTGACATCAGGTTCGATCTCAACTGATGCAATGTTGGTGTCCTCGTGTTCTTGCTGCTGGGAATCAATGAGGCGTAACAACGCATCTGCTTGGCCCAGGGAATTCGTTGACGGATAACGGATTTCAAAATCATAGCCCAGCAATGTAAGTGCCCATCGTTGGAATCGTTTGGCTGTATAGGCAGGAATTCCCTTCTTCGAGCCAAAAATGGCCAGCAGCGGCTTGTGATCCGTCAAGAGTTTGAGGCGGCGACCATACAGCATCTTGTGGAATTTCTTCACAAAAACGCTATGGCCAATGCCTCCTTCTAGATCTGACTGTAGTTTCTTTCAGCTTTTGTTAGCGTCCTAGCGGCATGGGCGATCGCCTTCTGAGATCCATCTGGGAACGTTTGGGAGACTACGGCCCCGATCTCTAGACTCGGTGCGTCTGTGGCAAGGACTATTTCCCGGGAAAGATCAAAATGAATTAGGAGTAAGTCTGAGGCCAACAATGACTTGATCCGCTCAAACGCACTCTGGCATTCTGGCGTCCAATTCCAGGTTTGGCCCTTGCTCAGCAACTTATTCAACGGGGCACGCAGGCGATGTAGTTCGGGCAGAAAAGTGCTGTAATGACTGATTAGGCCACAGAATGAACGCAGCGACTGCAAGTCCACAGGTGGGGGCATCTTTTGAATAGCTCGGATATCTTCTGGATCAGGACGACGACCGTCTTTTGAGAAAATGAAACCGAGAAACGTGATGGTTGGTGTAAAAAAGGTACACTTGTCTTCGCGGATACGGAACCCATATGACTGGATACGTGCAAGCACTTCGGCGAGCCGCTGAAATAGTTCTTCTGCTGTCCGACCCATTAAAATGATATCATCCAGGTACGCCGCGGCTCCAGAAACCCGCGAGCATGGTGTCCATCAGCTGCTGAAAGATGGCTGGTGCTGTGTTCACGCCAAACGGGAGGCGACTTTACTGGTACAAGCCACGATGAGTGTTATGGTCAGCAATTCCCTTGAGTCTTCATCCACCTCAACCTGGAGGTAGGCATCGGTTAAGTCGAGCTTGGCGAAACACTTTTCACCATTCAGCTTGGCAAACATATCCTCTGGTATCGGAAGGGGGTATCGATGGTCGTCCAATGCCATGACGATGTCTGCAGGCAGTGTGTTCCAATAAGCTATAACCATACGCGATAACCTAAAAGTTGCCAAAACCCGGTCAGACCGGGGTTTGTGCAACTTTAAGGGGTGGCCACGAAGGGTTGGCATTCGAGTTAAGCGAAACAGTCTAGTCAAATCAGGGCCAAACTGACCCATCAACATACGATATGTAAGGACCAAGTCTCCACGAAGCCGCCTGTAATACATGGAAAACATATCCAACTTACGTAGCCTCACCGGGTACGTCAG